TCCATACAGCTACCGGCATATGCACGGGTACTCCGGGCACACGTACAAATTCACCAAACCCGATGGCAGCTACACATACGTCCAAATTCACCTCAAAACAAACCAAGGCATCAAGACACTCACATCCTCCCAAGCTGAGTCTCTCGCTTCTTCCAACCCCGACCACGCAACACAAGACCTCTTCTCCTCCATCGCCTCGGGTGACTTCCCCTCCTGGACTGTCTGCATCCAAACAATGACCCCCCAACAAGCCGCATCCTTCCCCTACTCCATTTTCGACCTCACAAAGGTCTGGCCACAGGCCGAATTCCCCCTCCGCCCCATTGGAAAACTCACACTCAATCAAAATCCCACAAACTACTTCTCCGAAATCGAACAAGCCGCTTTTTCACCCAGCCACCTCGTCCCCGGAATTGAGCCAAGCGCAGACCCAGTCCTCCAATCCCGCCTCTTCAGCTACCCCGACACCCACCGCTACCGCCTCGGTGTAAACTACCACTCTATTCCCGCAAACTGCCCTTTGCACTCCTTCAACCCCATCCACCGCGACGGCTCCTTCGCTGGCGTTGCCCCCCCCCACACACACGCCCACCAAAACTACCACAGCGAGCCAAACTACCCCTCCTCATTCCGCCCCATCTCCTACCCCCCCAAAGAGAAAGTGAACCCAGAAGCGGAGTTCTGGGAAGGAAAAGCTACCCCGTTTGTCTGGGAACTTACGGACGCGGATTTCGTGCAGGCAAGGGATTTGTGGAGGGTTCTAGGGAGGCAGGACGGACAGCAGGGGAATTTTGTAGCAAATGTTAGCGGCCATCTGTGTGCTGCAAAGGAGGGCGTCAGGAGGAGGGTGTATGCAATGTTTGGGCGCGTGGATGGGGAGCTGGCAAAGTCGATTGAGGAGAAGACGGAGGAGAGGGTGAGGAAGGATAAAGGGGTGGAGGTAGCTAAGTTGTAGGGGGTGTTGAGATGGAAGATGTTTTTTTGGAAGGGGTGATAGCTGCTGGCTGGCTCGGCTCAGTTGGAGGTGTTTTTTTTGAAGTATCTTTTTCTTTCTTTTTTTGGTGTAGTACATGCTCTTAGGTTAATCCCTTTAACGAATGAATTAACGAATTTCTGATATATCGAATTCCATCGATGTTCATATTCCCCAAGTAAAAAGAATCAACTGCTAATCAAAATTATTTCCCTTGACAAAAGCTCCTATTGTTCCTTAAAAGCCTCCTCAAGAAAAAAGCAAAGCAACTAGCAAACGTTTCCCTGATATCACAAAAGAAAAAAAAGGAACAACACCTCTAAACTCGCTTATACCCGTCCGGTATGTTCTTCCCATCGAAGCTAATATTGCTCGGTTGGTAAACTATTCAATCCAGACTTAATGCCAATTATAATGCCTCAGCCTTCACCTCCGCAGGACCAGTGCTAATTTTCGCTCCCTCAGTTTGCTCTTTAGCTTTCTCTGCCCCATCTTTCTTAGGCCTTCCCTCCGCCCTTTCGTCCCCAGGCCTCTTCTCCCTCCTCCCCCTCTCTCTTATACTAATACTTGAGCTCCTACTTCTCCCACTTCTATGCACCGCGCCTGAGACACTCCCACCATTCCAGCCCTCCGGCTCCACCCCACCCGCCTCCTTCAAAATCTTCTCCAAATCCTTAATCCTCGTCCTCAAGGCCTCATTCTCTCTCTTTACTTTCTCCAGCTCATTCCGCCATTTCACCATCTCCGTCAACGAGTGTCCTGTGGCTTCCACACCGCTCCCCAAGATGCCCCCAGGAAGATTCGCTTCACTCCCATTTGCCGATGGAGTGGCAATTCCAAGACCGCCTTGGTACTGGTATCCGTAGTAACCGGCATATGGGTACGTGCCTGAACTGCCTCCCACGGACGGGGCAAACGAAGCGTGTGGTGGAAGTGGAAGTAGATCACCAATGTTTGGGGAGCTTCGGCCGCCAGTGTTGCCGCTACGTATTGATCGGGTGGAATTTTGGCGAGAGAGCGTATTTGGCCCAAATCCCCCACCGGTGGCTGATGTAGAGGTATTGGAGTTCGTACGGTGGTGACGAGGAATGTGGGGAGAAGAGTAGTTGTGGTGCAGGATAGGTGAGCTGCCAAGGGGCGTTGGGATGGGTTCATCGATGGCGTTGGGGGATTGTTGAGCACGAAGGGCGGCAAGCTCACGCGTCAGGCGGTTGACCTATGTGAAATGTCAGAAGCTAAGGTACTAATTGAGAAGAAGGATATTTGGTTACACATACCACGGCCTCCTGCTCCCTTTCAAGCTGTAGATGCAAGTCTGCAGCAGTCAGTGGTTTCGGATGTCGCTGTGGCCCTGGCCCTATATCTCCGCCGAAAGCTGCCGGAGGGAATCCAGGGGAGCCCAGTGCACTCCCTATCCCTCCGCCGATAGGAATATTAGGAGGAAGCATCATTGATTGACGCCTGGATGAGGCGGCGGAAGATGCATATGACATTGGTGTATTTGGATTGAAGCACTCTACCTAGAATCAAAGAAGGGGCAATGTAGGGATGCTGCAAACAAGGATCCTGCGAGGGGTGGAGTTGTGAGGTATATATGTAGTCGTACTTTAAGGTTGACCAAGAGAGGGTGCAAAGAGATGTTGCAATATAAACAGATTCCCCTAGCAGGTTGGAGGAGAGCAGTGGAACAGTGATGGCTGGTATTGGGGTTGAGCTTGGGCCTTGATATTGAAAAGTAAAACAAATTCCGCCTCGTACAACCCGTATATGTGCAGTTTCATAAACGCAGCGAGAAGTGTCGGTTTTATTGACCTGCCGATGCTGCAGCGGAGTACCCTATGTTTGAGCTTAAGCACTGTCTCTATTTCCCGTCTATCTTGCACACCCGCACAGTAAGTATCTGTGAGAACTCTAAACCCCGTGTATTCAGGAACAATGAAAAGACACCCGAGTAGAATGTATGAATGAATGGTGAGCCTGGGGTAGCTATAGGTATACTTACTTATCGACTGCAATGCTCCTCTCTGTAGTCTCTCAATCTCAAAAAAAGCCGGAGTATGTGGCACTGATGGTGGGAGGGGAAGCCCGTCTGCCCTGCTTGTTTGTGAGCTACGAGGGAGGGTAAATAAAAAGGCACTGAGCACTCGCAGTCTATAGATCACGGTGGGGGGGAAAGATTCAAGATTCAGGGACGGTTCCAATGGGACCCTTCTGAGGTTGTTAAGTACTAAAGTGGGTTGAGAGTGCTGGAACATGGGCCATACCTTAATAGTTTGAGGGCCCAGGATCAGCATCCAGGGTCGGTCTGTTGCAACAGAAACGTTTGGGTTGGTGATCATGATCATGGCCGTTCGATGCATTGCATCAAACCGAAATCCCATGCAGCGCATCTCCAAATTTCAACTGGCACATAGAATGCACCTGAACACGTGCCGCATAAAGTGCACAGCCTTGACACCTCCGAATCTGCTCCCCGCACCGGCGAGGCGGCAACTATAGTTAGCTGGGAATTAAAACCGGGCATCGAAGTACTGTATCAGTGCAGTATATCCCTGCATCGCCGTTTGCTGTACCCCGATCTGATCCCATTTCTTTTTTTCTCTGTTCACAGACCCGAACTTCAGCGCGGGGCTCCTACAGAATCCAGTCCCCACTACCTGCTTCTGTATCAAATCGAACCAATAGGATCATAGTGTGCTATTTTGGACATGGATTGGTGAATTGTGAGAGAACTCGTAAAATTTCTATTACAATACCATAGAGTTGAGGGTAACAGTTGTGTTACCTTACTTGTGATTGAGTTCAACAGAGTTGACGCAATCGGAAACAAAGTGGACTACCTTATGTGAAACGAGGGTGCCAATAAGAAGTATTCTGTTCAAAACTAAAGCAGTTTCTGTTTAAGACGATGTTGGGCGGGGCCCCAAAGAGTGGTAATTTGGAAATGTTACATATCATCAATGGAATCAAGGAGAGGATTTATTACCGCTTACTGCTTCGAAGGCTATTTATTATACACAGGCTACTGCAAGATTTAATAAATCTAATACCAGCGCCTTGGTTCAAGAAAGAAATCATCGCTCAGAGGGCGTGGCTACGATGACTGTACTACGAAGGATGTAATAATGGAACATAAATTGCGGTAAAGAAAAGAAGCTCACCATTATATGTATCGAACCGTGTCACCTGCCGGTCAATAAGCATATTCTAACTCTCTTGCATTGAAGAGCCTACTTAGTCATGTAGTTAGGAAAGTTGGGCTGTACAAGACAACAAAGGTGGTGTGGCACGATTCATAGTTTCGTCACAACGGGGGATGATGATTAACTCTTGCCATATCCCATCCAGCTACTATTTAGTAAGAATAAGAGAATGAGAATGAAAGGGAAAGCAAACTATTCCATTCTGGTGGATTATTTGAGTGTCTGTTTCTAAGCTTTCCCATGGTAGTAATACAAACATCACCCACTTTCAGAGCCGTTAATGAGTTGGAGGTGATTCTCACCGAACAGTAGCCTGTACCTTCATAGTGGGGGGCTTTGGACAGGACGGACTTCTAGAGGAAACCCCGATGCTGTTAGGGTGATGATGTCTGAATGTAGCAAGAATGCCAGGGGTATTCTTCTAGTTCTTTTGTGAATAGATCCCCTACCAAGTGATATTCAAACCAATCACATAGGGCTAAAGTACTTGAGGGATGAAAGACAAAGACAAAGGCACTTGGTACAAATGTCTACAATGTATTTAGACCGTAATAGCTATAACTTCTACATTTAAGCCTTGGCATTCAGGGTAAGCGTCACAATGGGAAGAAAGTGGAAATACACCTCATCAAATCAATTGTGAATGTTAGGTGTTGCCTCGTAAGAAAAATACTTCATATTTATCAGGTACAATTTTGTAAGCAGGCTATACTTTCGCTGAGAGCTTACTTATTATTCACATATCTGATCGTTGTCGCTGGCGGCGGTGGCGGGCATGATAAGTAACGTCCATATATTGGCCATAATGCAAAACATGAACAAAGAGTCCTGTGGTCTAGTGGTATGATTTTCGTCTCACACACGAAAGGTCCCGGGTTCGAACCCCGGCGGGACTAACTTTTAACTTTTCGGGTCATTGTGGAATGTTTTCTATCTCCAAGCTCATATGGACATGCAGCACAACTCCTCTACATGCATATATACTTTTTGTTCTGTCCGCTATTTGCTCATCTCGTGCTTGATGTACGTAATCTTGCAGCTCAGGGCCTGAAATAAATGATAAATATATAGTAAATCTAAGTAAGGTAGGGAAACTCCCTCAGGAATGTGAAAACGTGACTTCATATGACGAAGGAACAGCCAAGGTTATACTACATACATATTAAACACCTTCCTACCAAATTGAATCAAGGCTAAGAAATCATCTCTAACGGTCATGTTCAGGAAGGATAATCAATCCTTGTTTCCATTACTCCACATTGATATCAAATAGCTAAACCGCGCAACATCATTGCTGCGTCTGTATGGTGTTCTAGGAACGGTTAGCATGTGGGCATCGTTGATATGTTGGCTAGAGTAACTTACGACTAGCCAATCCATGCCTTCGGTGACACCTACGGAAATTCCTCGTCAGTGATATTGCACACAATGTCATCTAGCCTGAATGGGCCCGTACCCTCTCCCGTAACAGCACTACATGTGAAGAGCTGCCAACTTCGATCCTTCAACCTCATGAGCTTCAGTGCCTCGCTGATCTCGGCCTCGCCTAGTATCCCCGGTTGATCTTTTTTGTTTGCGAACACAAGTAGAGAAGCGTCCTTTAGCTCTTCCTCGTCCAACATAGCTGCTAACTCTTCAGCAGCGGTGCTGATTCGGTCCTTATCTGTTGCATCTACCACGAAAACAACCTGGGCTGCCTGTCAGAATGCGAAATAAGCCTGCGGTTTTGGTACGTTGCTTACAGCAGCGGTGTTAGCATAATAACACCTCCAGTATGGCCGTATGCTGGTTTGCCCCCCTGTGCGTGTTCGTTATCAGTCGCTTGTCAAGTCCAAGTCGTATGGCCAAAACATACCCAGATCCTGAGGAAATGTCAGCTTGAGGCTCTCGTGAATAGAGTTGGAGTTTCCATACCCAAACAGTGAAATTCAAATTCTTGTACGTCACGCTTTCTACATTGAAGCCAATAGTGGGCACCGTAGTAACAACTTCACCTATCTAAGCCATCAATTAATGTCAGTGTACTAAGCTATATCCCACCTCGTGAGATTTCCGAAAGCTTCCCGGAGCCGTACCTTCAGCCTGTACAGTAGGGTTGTTTTCCCGGCGTTATCCTGTCAACCGCAGTCAGCGAAGCTTCCAGCTGGAAGAGAAACATGACCATACAAGACCAAGTATTAATATCCGCACTTCCTTCTTCGACCAGAGCCTAGAGAAAAGACCTGATATAGTTCCACCCATGTTGCTTATGAGCTGTATGTGACCGTGAGGGAGCGGAGAGAAAGGCGAAAAATAAGTGGAAAGAAGCGCGAGGTGTTATTATTCAAGAAAGGTTCTATAGCCGGGATGCCGAGTGACAGTATTGGATTGGAGCTCTGTCGAATTGACACTCGGGATGTTAGTAATCTATTGCTGGAATATGCTAACGAGATGAGACGAACAACCAGACTACCAGATAGAAAAGTAACCCTCGTTCTCTACAATGTAACTTGAACTCTCAACAACACCAATCAAAAACACCAAATTCAACCCTACGGATTCTTGTGCTTAATAGTTTGTACGAGGATAGTTTTCACACGGGCAGTCAACGATGCCCCCAGCAAAAAAGTCAGGTCGTGCCCTCCTAAGGGAGGAGGGTTAGTTTTACTCTCCAGTGGGCAACGGGTGAGGAAAGTACGCTGATTATTAGCATGGTAGGGCTGGAAAGGACTGATAACAACTTGAAATCACATACATGGCCCATAGTCCAAATGATCAACCAGAAGAATTATTACACGTTCGTATTTACAGTTTTACCTCTTGTCCAATTACTGAATAAATCTTGTAGGGAGTACTTGAAACGAGAAGACCAGGTAATGGTTTATCGGCAGCAACAAGAGGAGAGTGTAAAAGCTGCCCTTCAACAAGCCAAGGATAAGACAATGGATGGTGATACAATGGATGTAGATGAAGAAGGTGAGAAGGAGGAGGAAATGCTTGGTTCCAAGGTCATTGTCATACACCCTGGTAGTCAGAACCTACGAATAGGCCTCGCGAGCGATGCACTGCCGAGATCAGTACCAATGGTTATCGCTAGGAGGAGTGATAAGGCGGAATTTGAGATGGGACCACCATATCCAAACAGGCAAAAGGCGGATGCAGGCGAGAACGCAGAAGAAGAGGAAGAAGAAGAGGAGGAGCCCATGTTCGGTCAAGAATTCACTCATCAGCTACGTGAAATGTCTACCGAGCTGAAGCAACGAATGCGAAATAACAAGCGTCGTATTCTACCCAACTCGAAGGATTTGGTCATTTCCTATAACAATCGAACAGCTGCAGAAGTAGTGAAGGAACACAACGACCCTAACAGGGTAGAATGGACAGAGGTACCACAAGATAGCCCACCTGAGTACTATGTAGGCAAAGAAGCGTTAAGAATACCAGATATATCAAAGCCGAGGTATAGGCTCCTTTGGCCAATACGGCATGGTTGGCTGAATGAGAAAGATTACAACAATAAACGAAAGCTCTTTGCCGATATCAGCGTCATTCTCGAGGAAGGAATGAGAAAGGAGCTGGGTATAGCAAAGAGAGATATACGCGGAACATACTCGGCCGTATTGGTGATTCCAGACTTGTATGAAAAGGTCTACGTCAATGAAATGCTGGAGTTGTTATTTAAAGATTTCTTCTTCGAGCAAGTTTGCATAATCCAGGTTCGTGCATTTCTTGATTCTGAGTGTGATTGAACAGTTATTGATTTTTCAACATACGTTCAGGAGTCTTTAGCTGCAAGCTTTGGAGCAGGATTCTCACAGGCATGTATTGTTGATATAGGGGCTCAAAAGACCTCAGTCTGCTGTGTGGAAGAGGGGATGTGCGTCGTTGAGTCGAGGTATGTGAACATCTTGGTGGGATTATTTTACCAGTACTAAGGTTTGCTAGGCTCAACCTGAAATACGGAGGAGCGGATGTAACAAATACATTCATCAAGGCACTCCTCGTGTCACAGTTCCCATATCGAGATATTAATCTATGGAGGCGATATGATTACCTATTAGCAGAAGAATTGAAGCTCAAATACTATACACTTAATGATGCTGTCATCAGTGTGCAAGTATGTGATTTTCACTTGCGGGCACCCGGAAGTGATACGAAGAAGTACAGCTTCAAGTGCTATGATGAGGTTATGATTGCCCCAATGGTAAGCAGGTATCTCAAACATTTCTTCAACATATCCTGACACGCTAGCATAGGGATACTTTAATCCCAAAATTTTCGATCATTCCTATAAGCTCGAGGGTAGAAGGTCCTTGCTAGAGAGGTCTTATGACATATACGACGGGAAACCAGATGACCCAATATCCACGGCGCAGCTTACACTATACCAGGCATCGCGCCCATCATCGAATGGCAATGCCTCAGTCAACGAGGTGGGTGCGGATGGAGGGGCAGCCACACCTGTCAACTCTTCGTTACTTACCCCGGCAAAGGCCCCGACTCTGAATCCATTCTCCCATATTAACCTTGATACCACAGCAGCGACCCCCAGATCATCAATAGCGGGATCACCAGCTCCTGAAGGGACACCTATTTTTGGGGCCTCTACTCCAGCTTTCAACTTTGGCGGACCAGTTCCTTTTAGCCATGTGCTACCCATTGGACCTACCCCGCTTGAGCTTGCCGAGGAAAGAGACAAACAGGTACCGGTGTGTCCACTTGACCAGGCAATTGTGGAGAGTATCACCCATGCTTCTAAAGGCGATGAGAAAAAGATCAAGGAATATTTGGGTAGTATCATGATAGTGGGAGGAGGAAGTCAGGTTGCTGGTCTTAATCATCTTCTTGAAGAAAGGTATGTCAGCCCGTGTACCTACAGATATTTACATTGTTACTAACCCAATGCTCCTTTGCAACATCAGGTTGAGAGGCATGAAGCGATATAGCGATTTCAATGTGATGGTAGCCCCACCTCCCCGGGAGCTAGACCCTCAGGTTATTGTATGGAAGGGTTCTAGTGTGTTCGGTAAACTGAAGAGTACAAACGACAGCTGGATCCGAGCGGCAGAATACGATATCTTGGGCTCCCGGCTTCTGGCCTACAGGTGTCTATGGCTTTATTGATTCGCCCCAATCCCGACCCAATATTTGGGTCAATGGGCTGCCGAACTTGCTCTCTACTCTATCAGGCTTGCCCCTTTACTTGCTCTTTCACATTTTGCTCTTTTCAATATGTAAAATAGCAAAGATACGATGAGTGGCCAATAAGATTGGAACTCGGTTATCAATGTAAAATTTTCGTGAAGAAGCAGCTACCAGTATCTCAATTCTTGGCGCCAAGCCCTATGATTGCCGTTATCCACACTAACTTTTTTTTCGCCTGACCATTTACATGAGAATTGCATATAGACATACATCTTCACATCGCTCTGACGGTTCCTCAGAATTGCATGTTTCCTACGCCATTCTTTATCTATTCACTTTCTGTATCTCCAAGAGCTTTACTGAGGTCGATAGGGAGGAATTGAGATAGCCAGTAATCTGTGCTTTCCGCGCTATGAAGCGATTTCCGGTGGGAACAACTTCTACTTCCTTATCCCCATCGCTCATCAACCCCACGACTTCACTACATCTCAACTCACTTGATTCCGTCTTTTCAAAGTACGCATATTTACTAACAAATCAATATCCATACGAATAGTTATCGTACGTGCGAGTCATTATGAGCCAGAATAATTCTCGAAATTTGGCCACCTCTCGAAACTTCGATTCATGGCTATCCCAATTTCCGGCTCGACCAGGGAGCTACTATACACAACACAGAGAGGCATCGTCAAATGCTCAGATGGAGGCATGGACTCCGTATGATGGCATTCCTTCTACACACCAGACGGACCTTCCACTAGAAGGGAGCCGA